TGTGATAAAGATGACGCAACGTGAGATTGAACTCAGGGCTCCAAAATCATCTGTTCCCGAGCACTTACCACTGAGCCACCATTAACCATTGTCTCCAACCTCCATCAGTCTTCTATGCCAGAATACAACCCTTAAGGTTGACCTAAACCAGAGTTTTTCACCTGAGGGGACTGCAGAAAGATCACATCGCAAAAGTGCAATGTGTCAATGCCACGCAGGACCCCTTTGTCAGGCATGTTCTCCTGATAGACTCTTCAGGTGCTGAGATCTCCTTCCGAAGCCTGAGATTAAGATGGCGCAACATGAGATTGAACTCAGGCTCCAAAATCATCTGTTCCCGAGCACTTACCACTGAGCCACCATTAACTCTCATCTCCAGCCTCCATCAGTCTTCTATACCAGAATACAACCCTTAAGGTTGACCTAAAGCTAGATTTCACCTGAGGGGACTGCAGAAAGATCACATCACAAAAGGGCAACCTTTTCAGGGCCAACCAGGACCCCTTTGTAAGGCATGTTCTGCTTATAGATGCTTCAGGTGCTGAGATCTCCTTCCGAAGCCTGGGATTCAGCTGTGATAAAGATGGTGCAACGTGAGATTGAACTCAGGGCTCCAAAATCATCAGTTGCCCGAGCACTTACCACCGAGCCACCACCTAACCCTCATCTCCAACCACCATCAGTCTTCTATATCAGACTACAACCCTTAAGGTTGACCTAAACCTGAGCTTTTCACCTGAAGGGACTTTGCAGAAAGATCACATCACAAAAGGGCATCCTTTGGGAGTCATGCAGGACCCCTTTGTCAGGCATGTTCTCCTGTTAGACGCTTCAGGTGCTGAGATCTCCTTCCGAAGCCTGGGATTCGGGTGTGGTAAAGATGGTGCAATGTGAGATTGAACTCAGGGCTCCAAATTCATCAGTTCCAGAGCATTTACCACCAAGCCACCACCAATTCTCATCTCCACCCACCATCAACCCTCATCTCCAACCGCCATCAGTCTTCTATATCAAAAGACAACCCTTAAGGTTGACCTAAACCTGAGCTTTTCACCTGAAGGGACTTTGATTGCAGAAAGATCACATCACAAAAGGGCAACGTTTGTGAGCTACACAGGACCCCTTTGTCAAGCATGTTCTTCAGATGCTGAGATCTCCTTCCGAAGCCTGGAATCCGGGTATAATAAAGATGGCGCAATGTGAGATTGAACTCAGGGCTTCCAAAACCATGTGTTCTTGAGCACCTACCACTGAGCCACCACCAACCCTAGCTCCTACCTGCCATCAGTCGTCTATATCAGAATACAACACTTAAGGTTGACGTAAACCTGAGCTTTTCATCTGAAGGGACTTTGATTGCAGAAAGATCACATCACAGAAGGGCATCCTTTGGGAGTCACGCAGGACCCCTTTGTCAGGCATGTTCTCCTGTTACCTTTAGACGCTTCAGGTGCTGAGATCTCTTTCCGAAGCCTGGGATTCGGGTGTGGTAAAGATGGCGCAATGTGAGATTGAACTCAGGGCTCCAAAATCATCAGTTCCAGAGCATTTACCACCAAGCCACCACCAATTCTCATCTCCAACCACCATCAACCCTCATCAGTCTTCTATATCAGAATACAACTCTTAAGGTTGACCTAAACCTGAGCTTTTCACCTGAAGGGACTTTGATTGCAGAGAGATCACATCACAAAAGGGCAACGTTTGTGAGCTACATAGGACCCCTTTGTCAGGCATGTTCTTCAGGTGCTGAGATCTCCTTCCGAAGCCTGGAATCCGGGTATAATAAAGATGGCGCAATGTGAGATTGAAACTGAGGGTTCCAAAACCATGTGTTCTTGGGCACCTACCACTGAGCCACTACCAACACTGGCTCCCACCTACCATCAGTCATCTATATCAGAATACAACACTTAAGGTTGACCTAAACCTGAGCTGGTCACTTGAAGGGAGAAGAAATGGGTTCCTCTAAATGCCCCCAACCCCCAGCAGCACCTCTTAGCTTCATTTTGCTCCCACTTAGCCACCAAAGCTAAAAAAAAAGGAAAACCTTACGTAGGCACTGAATGGAGGAGTAAATGCTTGGGGGGATGGAGGATCAGATGCTTGGGGGAGGATCACAGATTTGCTTTAGAGCTTCATTCCATTCCTTCATCGCATTATTGCTCGTTGCATCAAGGAAACTCTTCGAAATGATGGTTGCCTGGACACCCCAAAAATCAGATGTGACCTTTTTTTTGTTCCGGTACATCGCCTTAGTGCATTAGGGCAATCGGAACTTTGGAAATTAAAATTGGCCCTTCAACCATCTCCTTATGGTGGGCTATGTTGTTGAAAAAAAAAGGGTCATATCCATTCTTCATTTGTTGGGGTGCATCGGCAATCCATTCATTGGCTGAGTTGCCTTAACGCATGTTAACCGAACACAAGTGTGAATGGGCCCTTAGGTGCCGCAACAGCTCCGTAATGTGACGGCCCCTCTGATACATGTGGATCTGGACAGACAGGCCTTCACATTAGTAGGATATAGTAGTTCTGCTTCCAGTGTGGCACCTCCCTAGAGGTTCTGGTCAGGTCCACACTGACAATTCCGGCAAAAGTGAGAGGAGCCGCGGTATCCGGAGGAATTGTGAGCTATTAGGAACGTTCAGGGTCCACCGTCTGCTCACATCTTCTCTTACCGTGTCCCATCAGCAGACAGTAACAGTGTGCTGGTTCTTCTCAGGTCTCAGGAGACGTTCCTGGTCACAGGCCACGCCCCCGAGGAACGGATGAGATTAAGGAAGTCACACGATGCTTTAGTATTTATTGTCTGCAAGTGCCACACACAAAGTCCTAGATATATACCTGGACTATGCGGTTAACCCTGTAGGCCTTTGTAAAGAGAAGCTGCCAGGAGGGCCATTCCCTGGGTCACCCGGAGCTCCGCCCAGAACTGGAACGTCAGCGCCTGACTTTGATCATTGGTGCCGGTTCCAGGGCAGGGGGCTGCTCTGAAAGCACTCCACACATGGAGCACCCATCCCTGGAACCAGGGCCACCTCTGAAGTTAGGCCACGGTTGTCTGTGACAGGTCCACTTTAAAGCTTTGTATATTCATTATTTTGTATAAAAACGGTATATCATGTGTAAGCCCCTCCCCCTTCAGTTACAGGCATCGAGACCTTCTCATTGGCTGTAATAAACACTAGAGCCTGTAGAAGAGAAGAAGACGATGGGTAACGGGGGAGATCTTTATGGGGTTCAGACTGAACGAGGAGCAGGGCTGCCTCTCCTCCTCCATTGGTCCCCAACTGACCTATAAACGCTAAGCCCCTCCCACCACCTCCAGAATGGACAATGTGACTGCACAGGCAGAGCAATGCATGATGGGTAGATGTGGACAGACTATAGATGTGCTCCTGGCGGTTCTACAATCATGTGTCCCCTCTCGGCTCGGCGCAGGGTGATGATGTCACCCTCTACTTTGTGACTACGCGGCGTGCGTCTCCTCGGTCATCTCTTCGGTTTCTGATTGTAAATGTGGTTTGAAATTTTACTACCTAGACAATTTTTTTTTTATATGGAGCTCAACCAATCACCTGTGTACAGAAAATAAAAAATGTCTGCTTAACACGAACCTTGTGTCCTGTGATGTCACTGCCCCGCCTCCCACCAGAGACCGCCTCCTCCTTATAATCCATTCATTGATATTTTTGCAGCAGTTGTTCGGAAGGGATGCTGACTGCACCACCTGACTTGCTATTCCATGTGAGGTCAGTGTGACGGTCCTTTCTATACCATGGCGTCACCAGCACTGGTTCCTCCACACAGCAGGGCTCCACACCCCTCCCTTGAGCTACCCAGAGGACAGCAATGCCTCGGAGACCACAGCATTGGTTCTTCCACAGCAGGACTCCACCCCTGCACCCCTCCCCTGAGCTACCCAGAAGACAGCAATGCCTCCGAGACCACAGCACTGGTTCTTCCACCCCTGCACCCCTCCCCTGAGCTACCCAGAGGACAGTAATTCCTCGAAGACCACAGTACTGGTTCTTCCACCCCTGCACCCCTCCCTGAGCTACTCAGAGGACCGTAATTCCTCAGAGACCACAGCCATGGTTCTTCCACCCCTCCCCTGAACTTGCCATAGGACAGCAATTCCTCGGAGACCACAGCACTGGTTCTTTCACCCCTCCCGAGCTACCCATAGGACAGCAATTCCTCGGAGACCACAGCACTGGTTCTTTCACCCCTGCACCCCTCCCATGAGCTTCCCAGAGGACAGTAATTCCTCGGAGACCACAGCACTGGTTCTTTCACCCCTGCACCCCTCCCATGAGCTTCCCAGAGGACAGTAATTCCTCGGAGACCACAGCACTGGTTCTTCCACCCCTGCACCCCTCCCCTGAGCTTCCCAGAAGGCAGTAATTCCTTGGAGACCACAGCAGCACTGGTTCTTCCACCACCCCTCCCGTAAGCTTCCCAGAGGACAGCGATCCCTCGAGAGACCATAGCACTGGTTCTTTCACCCCTCCCCTGCGCTACCCAGAGGACAGCAATTTTCCTCGGAGACCACAACACTGGTTCTTTCACCCCACCCCCGCACCCTCCCCTGCGCTACCAAGAGGACAGCAATTCCTCTGGAGACCTCAGCACTGGTTTTCTCCACAGCAAAACTCCACCCCCGCACCCCTCCCCTGAGCTACCCAGAGTTCAGTAATTCCTCGGAGACAGCGGATTCTGCTGAGGGTTGTCACTTTATTGTTCTATAAATAGATGCAGAGTTCAGCCCCCAAACACAAAATATAAAAACTGTAAAAATAAAAGCATTAATAAAAAGACGACTGAATTGTGTTCGGTATGCACAGTGCGGGAAGGCGTCCGACGCGCTTCATCCTCAGCGTGGAGCACCGATTCCGCTTCCACGGGAGATGAGCAAGGCACGATTCTTCTACCCAGTGGAGGTTCCCCACCCGCCGGGCGACATTCGGAGTCTTTGCCGTGACAGTTCTCGAGCGTCAGATCTTCTCTACGTAGTTTCCAGGAAACAGGCCTTCTCGCCCGCGAAGCCGGCCCTGCCACCACCCCGAGGGGTCTGCAGAAGAGAAGACAGTTAGGGTAGGAGGGGATATTTGGTTCCTTCAGGTTCCCTCGGTTGGGGCCAAGCCTAATATCTCATTGAGACCTCAGTTATCTCAAGAACCAAAACTTCAGAGACCTCCATTGTCCCCCCAAAAATTACTCATGGGTGCAAATATCAAAATACCTTGATGGGCTGGTGTCATTCCGGAGGAGCGGGCGTTCCTAGGGACTGCATTTACATAGGTAACACCCACATGCAATACTGCGCCTCCATGATTGGAAGAACTGAAATCCAAGGGGCGGGGTCAGGCTCATTAATACAAACCCTCTCGAATGAGCTCCAGCACGTCATTGGCGTTGAAGCTCAGCTCATCCGTGTCTTGGGCGTCGTAGGCGAAAAGGGCCCGGCAGTATGGGAGCTTCGGCTGAGGTTTGGGCTTTGGTGCAGGTTTGGTCCTCCCTCCTCCAGGCACTGGTTTCACCTCCTTGGAAAGTCTCCGCTGCAACCTAGAAAGGGAAAAAAAAAAAACGTGACCAGGCCGCCATGAACTGCGTCCTCCCGCCATTATACGATTCATTCAGGGTGTTCGACACCCTAAACCGGGCATGCCTCAATTTTCTAGATGGGCGGACCTAGAGACAACATTTCTCCGAACCTTTATATGCAGACCCGTCCGTTCTCCCTGGTCCGCCATACTCACCCCGCCACCCCTTGGTCGGGTACGTTCATGAATCCCAAGTCCACGTTGGCCGGTGCAGCTTTGGCACGAGGACTGGCGCCTTGCCTGGGAAGACTCGGCTGGTCGATGCTGCTCTGACGGGACGTGAATGACATTCGTTGTTGCATCGGCGGTCGGAAACCCTTTTTGTTGCCGCCATTGGCGATGCGGGATCCTGTAGAGGTCAACAAGAAGGAAACGTTCATGCCAATAGGAGACGCCAACAAGGATTAATAAGAGAAGTCCATCCCTGGCATATATTTTATGGGCAGACGGTCTTTTTATGCAGCTCCTCCCCCTAGGAGCCCTGGAGAGGAAAATGATGCATCTACACCAATGATTGGAGGATGTAAACTAGTAAATGATTGGTGCTTATGGAAGGACCTTCATTCCTTCAGTTACTAGATGAAGACACTACCATTGCTGACCCAACCCCATCATCTCCATCCTTCTGTCACCACATTGTATGTCATTGGCGTGGCGTAAGGTGGCAGCCATTGAAGCCAACAACTCCAGACCTGCATGCTGGGTTCAGGTCAGGGACCTACAAAAAGGACCAAGGTCGTGGAAGTCAGCAACCACCACTAATAGAGAAGAATTGAGAGACCAAATGGTGGTCCTTGGCACATGGTACTCACCGGAACTCTGGGCATGGACCTTTCCTCCCAGGTTCTGGCTCTTGCGGTTGTCCTTCCGGGTGGGTCCTGGGTGTAAGAGAGTCAACAGGGTGTCAGGTACCATCTTTACACTTCTCAACCAGAACACAAGATACGCCCGAAGGTCGGGGAACACTCACGGGAGTTCTTGGGTAATCCGGCTCCAATCATAACCAGCAGAACCTTTCCGTTCACCTTCGGTACCGCCACGTCACCGGATCCTGTCTGGAAATGGATCTGCCGGGTTCCCGCCGCGCCCCAGGGGGTCCAACCTTCCTTCTTCACCTTGAACTCCAACCTGACAGAAGGAACATCGCCATCTTAACTACGTGGAATGACGTAACCCATTCCAGCCAACCAAGGGTCATCTGAACCAGCAACATGGATCAGATCCGCCTGTTTTTGGCCATCTGAAGACTACGGCGCTCTACATGAGCTCCGCGGGGGACGGACAAGGAAAGCAATCCCCGCCCCCACTTACTGATTGCTGAATCTGATGTCCAGCTTCTTCTGCGTCCGTTCCTCGTAGCGCTTGTAGAGCAGGCTGAGGAACTCGGTCTTGAAGACACTTTCTAAGACGCTGTCATACTGGACTTCATGGAGGATAATGAAGTCGTCTTGAAGTGTGCTGGAGGGAAACATACACGAGTCCGTCATACCGCATGCTACATGTCAGTCATACCGCATGCTACACGTCAGTCATGCCGCATGCTACACGTCAGACATACCCGCACGCTACACGTCAGTCATACCGCATACTACACGTCAGTCATACCGCATACTACATGTCAGTCATACCGCATACTACACGTCAGTCATACCGCATACTACACACATCATACCGCATGCTACACGTCAGTCATACCGCATACTACACGTCCTACCCACTTCAGGGCTTCCACCAAGACCTAAATCCTGCCCAAATGATTTTCTTAGCTTCGCATGGAACAGTGCCGAGGTTTGGAATTTCTGTCCCCACTGGAGAGAATCCCCCTCATTTCCTATGGGGGACAGCCCATAGCCCAGGAAGTAGAAGGAATCCCTCCAATGAGGACAAGGACAGCCCCTAGCCCAGGAACTGAGGGGAATCTCTCCAATGGGGAGAAGGATAGCCCAGGAAGTAGGCGGAATCCCTCCAATAGGGACAAGGACACCTAGGAAGTAGAGGGAATCCTTCCAATGGGGTCAAGGGCAGCCATAGGCCGGGAAGTGAAGGGAATCCCTCCAATAGGGACAAGGACAGCCAGGAAGTAGAGGGAATCCTTCCAATGGGGTCAAGGGCAGCCATAGGCCAGGAAGTGAAGGGAATCCCTCCAATAGGGACAAGGACAGCCAGGAAGTAGAGGGAATCCTTCCAATGGGGTCAAGGGCAGCCATAGGCCAGGAAGTGAAGGGAATCCCTCCAATAGGGACAAGGACAGCCAGGAAGTAGAGGGAATCCTTCCAATGGGGTCAAGGGCAGCCATAGGCCAGGAAGTGAATCCCTCCAATAGGGACAAGGACAGCCAGGAAGTAGAGGGAATCCTTCCAATGGGGACAAGGACAGCCAGGAAGTAGAGGGAATCCTTCCAATGGGGTCAAGGGCAGCCATAGCCCAGGAAGTGAAGGGAATCCCTCCAATGGGGACAAGGGCAGGCATAGCCCAGGAAGTGAAGCGAATCCTTCCAATGGGGACAAGGACAGCCATAGCCCAGAAAGTGAAGGGAATCTTTCCAATGGGGACAAGGGCAGCCATAGCCAAGGAAGTGGAGGGAATCCCTCCAATGGGGACAAGGACAGCCATAGCCCAGAAAGTGAAGGGAATCTTTCCAATGGGGACAAGGACAGCCATAGCCCAGAAAGTGAAGGGAATCTTTCCAATGGGGACAAGGGCAGCCATAGCCAAGGAAGTGGAGGGAATCCCTCCAATGGGGACAAGGACAGCCATAGCCCAGGAAGTGAAGGGAATCTTTCCAATGGGGACAAGGGCAGCCATAGCCAAGGAAGTGGAGGGAATCCCTCCAATGGGGACAAGGACAGCCATAGCCCAGGAAGTGAAGGGAATCTTTCCAATGGGGACAAGGACAGCCATAGCCCAGGAAGTGAAGGGAATCTTTCCAATGGGGACAAGGGCAGCCAAAGCCAAGGAAGTGAAGGGAATCTTTCCAATGGGGACAAGGGCAGCCATAGCCAAGGAAGTGGAGGGAATCCCTCCAATGGGGACAAGGGCAGCCATAGCCAAGGAAGTGGAGGGAATCCCTCCAATGGGGACAAGGGCAGCCATAGCCAAGGAAGTGGAGGGAATCCCTCCAATGGGGACAAGGGCAGCCATAGCCAAGGAAGTGGAGGGAATCCCCCAATGGGGACAAGGGCAGCCATAGCCCAGGAAGTGAAGGGAATCTTTCCAATGGGGACAAGGGTAGCCATAGCCCATGAAGTGAAGGGAATCTTTCCAATGGGGACAAGGGCAGCCATAGCCCAGGAAGTGGAGGGAATCCCTCCAATGGGGACAAGGGCAGCCATAGCCAAGGAAGTGGAGGGAATCCCTCCAATGGGGACAAGGACAGCCATAGCCTTAGATCTTCTGATATTTAAAGACACAGTGGACATTTTCCTCCAGCTCCTACCTCATCGAGACGAACTGGATGTCCTTCAATTCGATCTTCCTCTTCAGAACCTCTTTGATTTGGCCTTTCTCTGGCCCCTGTTTCAACTTCTCCCGACCAATCAGGTACACGAACTTTGGCGTCAACACCAGATCGCGTTTCAGCGTCTACATCGTAGGAGGACAGTTATTGATCATCATAGGAAGAGCCAGAGATCCATTGGTGGGGGGGGGGGGGGGGGGGAAATGGGGGGTCTCCTAGGCACTCACCTTGAACCGGCGGTCATATTTCACCACCGTATCGGCAAAATCAATCCTTTCTCTGCGCCCCACGAACTTGCCGCAGTTCTGGCCGACCGTCCATCCCGATGTAATCGCCCACAAAGTTGCGATTGATGCTGTTCCGCCTCCGCTCCTTCTTGTTCAGGACGATGTTGGAAGCTGCAGGTAGGTAATGAGGTCATGGTGAAGCTGAAGAGTGTTATATACGTCATAAAAGCTTCCATCGCAGGCTTCTCACCCAGGTACTCCCTGAAATCCTGTGCCTACCTTCCTCTCTCATTCGGATGTACTTGCGGACGGCGGTGTGCTTGCGCCAGGCTTTTTGGATGACGCGGGCGTAATTGTCGTACTTCCTCTCCCGCATTTCTTCCAGCAGGAAAAGCTAGAGACACGAAAAAAAAAAAAAACTGTGACTGACCGAATTCCCCAACAATTTTCACCGATTCGTTACTTCCGTTGACCAAACGTCTTGGGCCACCATTAAATCTTAGTCCAAGGATGCCTCCAAAGGACTCACCGACTCCGGAGCCTTGATGAAGACTTTGGTCTTGCCCAGCTGGTACTGATCTGCGTCCATGTTCACCGACTTCAGTAGGTGGAGGACGCCCTTCTTCTCGTCCCCCCGCCACTCCGGCCACGTCTCCCGCGTCAATATGGCGTACCTGATGGATGAATCAAGGAGTAGAAAGAAGTCAAACAAAAAGACTCCCGTTAAATGCCTAGTTTTGTGGCGTTCTCCAGGAGGATCGTTGCAGACCTGGGGTTGATCTGCCGATACGAAGACGTCAAATCAGTGGACTGTCCCCTCCGGAATGAAAGATTTTTACACCGATCCTGCTACCAATCGTGGACAAAAGCTTCTGGACGGGCAGCGACCATTGCAAGATGGAGGAAAGCCCAAGAGGAACATGGGGCACCATGAAAAGTTCACTGTGGCCTTTGTGTAACAAGTGCCAGTTGGAAGATTTAGGGGCCTTCCGGCCTTTGCATGTCTGAGAAAAAAAACTGAGATTCCGCTGTAGTCTATGGGGGGGGGGGGGGGGGGGGGGGGGGGTATCGTAATGTTCCTCCTCCTAGCATTCTAGCTTGCACCCCAGAGGTCCACCAATGAACACAGAAGAGTAAATACAAGATGGCAGCCCACGTGCATAAGCCGTCTCGTACCTGTTGAGGAATTTTTTGAAGATTCTACGATAGGCGTATCCAGCGCGGCGTACCCGGATGTTCTCCCGAAGACCTAAGTACTCCACCTGATGCTTCACCCTGGAGGGAGGACACATTCGAGAAGAATCACACCCCACTCATGGCAGATAATAAGCTCATCTCTTTTACAGTTATCTGTTGTCCTCCCATTCTCTTCCCTACAGACAGATGGACGCCCCCAACCCTACAGGAGATCACCCCAAGCCTACAGACAGATGGATGATCCTATCCAAACAGAAGTTCCACCCACCCAACCCTACAGAAAGATGGATGCACCAACCCAAACAGATGTTCACCCTTAAATGTTGCCCTACTCTACAGACAGATGGACACCCCC